ACGGTATAGAATCAAGCTGCAATCAAAAATAAAAATAAAATAATCAGTGCCGGTGCATTTTCTCGGCATTCCCTTCACAGCTAAACATCGCCATAGTACCTGTCGGTCAACGGAATCGAATGCCGCCTTCAGATCAGGAAATATGGCGATTTCTGGACGCTGGTAAGGATGCCTATGTTCCAGAATCTGTCGAGGGGTGAAGATATGATCGATATACCGCCTTCCTGGACTAAAGCCTGCCTGGTTCTCTCGTGTTTGTCCCTCCTGTGCACCACTTAGTCTACGCACAGTTATTGAGCGTAGAACTTTAGATATCATATTGTTCAAGCAAATCCCTCTGTGGTTATCATTTATCAGAAAACAAACTGATCAAGGCATGAATGGCACTCATTCAGTCATATAATCAATACACTATCAGCAAAGAAGTGTCTATCACTGTCACGGGGAATCTCTTACATTGGTTGAAAAATTTAGTTATTTCAAGCCGACTAAAATTCGGTGTTAGGTGAAATTTCGTGACATGAATATAGCAGCACCCACACAAATATTTAGGATAACTCGGCGTTGTCATGCCTTTGATATTGACATTATAAACCATAATTCGTTTAAAGACGGTCATAGGTTATGCAAGCGAATTTTTGGCAATGACTGTAGGCTAGAACTACCAATCACAATAAAACAGACTAGTTTGGAGGTGTTCTCTCGGTGTAGAAATTCATTTCATGATTAGTAAGCTCTATACAGTTGTTTTTTTTGTATTTTTGTTCACGTTAAGGTAAATTTAAATCTTATTCTTAATTCTTTCCTAATAAATATGTAGTAGTGGGTGGAAAAGTTACAGAGATGCAAGTGCCTACATAATATAAATTGGGAACATAATGGAATAATAAAACAAAATTCTAGATTTAGACTTTATATTCTGTGTAGAATGGAAAATTGGACAGTCTAAAGATTTATGCTTTCAATAAATTAATGTGTATTCAAACTTCAAAGCTAATAACTAATTTGTAAGTCGACTGTTAATCAGAGAAAGAAGGTAATCATCAGGATTCCATTGATCGCGTCTTTAAGAGGAATTTATTATATTTAGCAGCAAAATGGACTACTTAACTTGATGATGAATAAACAATTTAAGGTTGTTCATTTGTTTCTTGACAGACAGCGGAACAGGCTGCAGGCAAAAGTGACCTCACAATATTGTACCGAATAAACCAGGTTGCCATCCGATAAAAGCTTAAAACAGATGAATGTAGTGAAAGATAGTGAAGAAAAGCCTATTACCGAAGAGAAGGAACAGAGAGAACGCCAGAATGTTCACTTCAAATTTGGTCGGAAAGACAGCCAAGACAAGAGTTCAGGGGAACATAGAGAAGACACAGGCGATGAAGAGACCCAGACAACAACATCAAGCACCAATCATTATCTGAAGGGAGTTGTCTCTTCCACTTCCCACTCTGGTAACATCGTTTCAACTGCAGGAAAGTGGCATGGGTTAAGATGCTGAAGCCGGTCACAATAGGATCGAAAAAGCAAGACAGGAGCCTATTACTCTTAAATTAATGTGGATATATAGAGAACTCAGTATAAGGAAAAAGATTTGAATTCTTAGCACAAATGTCAAATGAGTGCTTTCATGTGATTCGGAGACTTGGTGCGCGCCTCACCAAAAGCATTTCTAAGAGACTACAGACTTTTTTCTACAGGCGCATTTACTAGATAATAGAGATCAGATGGCTGAACAGAAAGGGTAAATAACAAGGGACTCTGACTGGCAGGCAGCCAGCCAAGAATTTACTGCCGAAAAAACATGCAGAAGGAAATGGAGATACATTGGACATACCTTGAGAAGACCGTTGAGTGACATTATACGTCAGGCCTTCCACTGAATAATTGTATTATTGTAACTTCCCTATTTTTTGAGTTGAGCTGAATTTTGATGTCACGATCCTGGAGGAGATTGGTTCAAACTTCATGGAAGCCATCGATGATGTTGCTGAAGTCATGACGGCTACACCGTCATTGTACTTGTGGTTGTCGTCTGGATGATAGAAATATGGTATAGACTCTCCACTTAACAATTTGGATAGCCCACTTCCATTCCATTTGTTCTCACAGATTCCTAGCACTTCTATACCATATCTTCTCACTTATTTTGCAATCTATACATCATCCTCAACTTCAAATATGGTGCATATATTCTATGTCCTCATGCCTATTTTTGCTTCCTTCGAAAGAAGACATCAACTGACTGGTTCCCTGAAGGTTTTCACCACCCTGAGTCATTTCGTCTCTCCGATTTCAGCGAAGAATAAGTTCATTTTTGAAGTTTCTGTAACGACTGGTTTAATTTTCAGAGGTAGGGTAGCAAGCCCTATACCCATCCACCCCTCTTTTAAGGAGCTTACAACCGGTTAGTGGACTAGTAAACTAGGCGAAGTTGCGGCAGAAATTCAATTTTACTCATTTTTAGTTGTCACTAAATTGAAAACAAGTTTCATTTATTCTACTCTCATTATGAAGATGGTTTCACTTTAATTGAAATAACTTCAATCAAACCTTATAGAGTCACTATGATAACATTACAAAAACTTCGTGTTCGGCATGTGATTCAGTGTATGAGTTTATAAATCTTTGTTTCCTTGGGTGGTTTATGCCTCTCCTACTCGCGGTATACATCAATGTGCTATATGGGAGGTTTCAAGTAATGTGACTTAAAAATAAATCACAGGATAGCATATATACTGTCATCCTATTTTCTTTTTAATCATAATTTCATTGTTTTCCTTTACATGTTTTTCTTTGGTTCAGAAGCGTTCTACAACTAATTTTATCTTGATGGTTTGCAAGTTTTATCTAATTTGTGTTAACTTGGGCTATCCACAGATATTTGATTCTGCATTTATTATCTATATATTGATAAGTTATTGCATCCATTAGAGTTGACTGTTCGAAGCTGAACTGAAATTTTATAGCATGTGGAAATCTAAATGAACGAACACTTAAGTTTTTTTTATTCCTAACTAGTTGAGAATAAGATAGTATCTATCATCATTGTTATCATCATTTAAGCAAACATTTATCAAATCTTTATAAAAATTTCAACCAACTTATAATCAACTGGCTTGCTGCATTGTTAAATATCACGTACATTGGGTAAATACCTCAAAATTCAATAGAAAAGATAAGTAGTAAATTGACGACAACATAAAAATTACCTCATGCTGAAGAACGATGATTAAGTTGCTGCATATATAAGCTGATATTTCGTCAATTTCTGTTTAATAATACTTTGATAAAGCTATTAGCATTAAATAACAAAACGTCAGTAAAAACAATATCGTTTTGTTTTTTACTCATTGGGAAATTGAAAAACTTTTATAACAATGAATATCATATACCTAATACCCAAATTTTTTCAAACTGTTAAAAGTGAACTTAGTTGGGACACATAAAATAAAGAGTAAATGTTCAAAACTTAAAATCCACATTGTCTTCTAATAATTTCATCTTAACAAGATCTTGTCATAGCTTTAAAACAAGTTTGTTGACGTATAATTCTATGGGGGAGACTTCACAATCTTATATGACGTAATACTTATTAACTTAATCTAGCTTCAGGCTAAAATAGAGAAGAACGATTGTTCTACGTGTAAATGAAGCGGTAATACGCATTTATAGTATGTTTTTTTCTCGGAGGAATAATATCACGTACTGACAAATAAACTCATTTTTTAATCCACAACGGTTGGTTGTATTACTCCATTTTCATCTCCCCAAACATGTGATTACATTGAATATATACAGAAAAAGAAAACTGGTCTAACGAATAAGTTTTTATCATAATGTCTATGAAACTTTGTGTATTGTAGAATAAATCACTTTATTATAAGCTGCCTGGTAGTAGAGTAATTGCTGGAATTTTGATCATTTGTAGTAATATACTAGCACATAACTACGTATGAAACTAAAACCAGTCACCTGATGATAATATCTGGTTGTTGTTAGAAGTTTATAAGTTAGGTTTACACTGACATAACACCATTTATTTCATTTACATGGTAGGTGTTCGGATGTAAAGGTTGTGTGGCTTTGCCTGTATATTTATCTACGCATTAACACGAGGAGCCTCATTGTGTCACAATGATCGGTAACTGCATTACCCAAATCACTGAATTTTCTGTCAGAGTTACAGATATAGCTTGTTCATGAAATCTATTTCTGTCAGTGCTTCCTGTTTATTGCCTTTCAGTATTGAACACAGTGTTATATGGAAACCCTGAGAGATATCCAGATTAAAGGATTTGAGGGGATTTCAGGTTAATTTCAGTTGTTAAATTTTTAGTCATCAGTTAGACAGATCATTAAAAACCGGGGAGCACTGAAGAGCTATTTTGTATTGTTTTGGGATTCTTCAATGGTGAGCATCCACGACCCCACAAGGGGTCTAACCAGGAATTATCAAGTTACAAGACCAAGTTCGCGGACCATTCTGCCACTGGGGCTGGGATGTGGTGACCCCTGAATTCCCACTGCGGCTTCAGGAATTCCATCCAGTAGCCATCAGTGACCTGGCGACTGATATTCTAATTACAGGATTTTTGAGGATTTTGTATATTTCCGTATAAAAACACATTGGTCCACAGGATTTTTCTACTTTGAATGTTAAATGTCATTATCACAGTGTTATTTATTACACATAATATGCACGTAAATTCTGATTCATGTGCACCCGTAATCTTGTTCAATGACTACCACTTTAGGTTACTTATTTCAAAATAAGGACATCTTCCAGAATGCACGAGTGTCATTGATGTCCAAACATGAGTTTTCACCATCGCATTTCAGATCAATATATTTTGATCACCACAACTAGGGATAGAAAATTAGGTTGGTTGTCATCTGTACTATTTTAATTTCGTCACTAACCTTGGTGTTATAGCTGCCATAACTTTTGTTTTAATGGTCATTATTATTATTGTTATTACTGTCTTTCTATAAAGGTTTACAAAAATTTAAAAACTCACCATGCAAACAACTTCATTATCGGTCGAATTCATTTAGTGCAATCGGTTGTCGACAAACTGAACAAATGGCTGGATCAATAAAATTATTTTACTTATATGAAGATAATAATTGTTCAAACATCATCAATAACGGGAACAATTCTGGAGAAAAGGAGAAGCTATCAAAAATCGAATGCGGAACAGATGAAATATTTCTTAGTTTCATTGATTATCCTACTGGACATGTAAAGGTAATGTATGTTCAATATTTATGCGTATTAATTGGTGTAATAGTTAGTACATTTTATGAGGAGAGCAATACTAATGACTAGAAAAGTTAATATAAGGATAAAACTTGAACACTGTGGTGAAGTATAACTCTATTATGAATAAAATTTTACTTTGATAAAGTCCCACAGTGTTATACAGTAATATTTACTGATGACGTTTCGAGCACAATGTAATGCTCATAATCATATCAAGATACTTCTACAACTTTCTTACTTCGTTTATATATACATATATTAATATAACTTGATTATAAATACAATCATCTTGGAAACACTCAGACACAATAAGAATTTGATTTTTTTTAAACTGTTGGTATATAGTTTCAGTCACCACTGTAGAGGATTGAGAATAAAGCAGTAGTTCAAATTTCAAACATCTGCTTTTGTTCTGTGAGTTGATTGCTGAATTTATCTGCCATTCATTCAATTTCCAGAAAGCAACAAAATACAATTCATTAACCTTCCAATGATGACTAGACATATTTACAGCATAACAACAACGTAATCTATAAATGTGATTTTAATAATCATTAGCTTGCAATTATTAGCTTACTTTTAAAGAAACTCCAGCGGTAATCTCTTTTTGACAGACTAATATTATGAACTCTTAATAATAATTGACAGTGAGACTACTTTGTGCCTAGAGCTGACAGTCTGCTAGTGATGTTATTGGTGATCTGGGATGTGGTAGGATTGGAACCAGCGTCATCTAAACTAGTAGTCTGGTGCACTGTCGCCTGAGGTACAATACATAACTGTTTACGAGGCCAGCATCTCACTATAATAACAATACAATATAATAAATTAATAACATCTGTCACAGACAGAATTGGATTAGTGGTTTTCCGTTTACCAGCTCTGTACACTAATAATTAATCTCTAAGACCCAACCTCTGACCAGTTGAATCACCGAGGTTGTTTCGGTCGATTGGTGTTGTTATTGTAGTGGGAGTAATAACTGAAGATGAACCAGCAGGTTTAAATCTTATTGCAACTCGTGTTTTCTCTTCAACCTAAATAATGCATTCATTAAAATACCACTTATTTATTAATGGGTGATTTGAACACAGATAATGAATTTATAATACTTTCAAACCACTGTTTGCAATGTGAAGGTATTTATCCTGTTTGTAAATTACTATTGATAAAAGCAGTAATACATTGTATTTATTTATTTTTTTGAAATATCTGATAGGTCCTTATGTTGTTTATGTATCTTTAAAAAAATATTGGTTTATTTTTAATTTACAGCTCAAAAATTTGAACAGCTGGGATTTCAATATTTTTCATATTCGAAAAATAAGCTGCAGTAAGTTCTTTTTTAAAAACTTCTTTTTAAGTATTCTGAATTTCCTCGTGTTCTAAATAGACTTTCTGCAAAAAAAAATTCACCCGAAATCATGAGACATTAAATATCTGTTTAAATTTAGTTGGATGTCTAGTGATAAGCTTGTAAATGATCAAACGCAGACATGCAGCCGCTTCGTGCGAATCCAGTAAACTATGGTTTTTGACGTCCACAGATTTTATTTTTATTTAGTGAGCTAATGATGTCATGTACGCATGAGTTCATTGTTTGTTTTACAGTGAAACTGGAATGCTTAGGAGTCTACTGTTATAATTATATATTGATGATCAAAGACTTACCTTGTTGTTATTCTTCATTCGTGAAAAATCAATTCAGTATAGTCGGTAAAAGATTTACATTCTTTACACCAATCAGTCATTGAGTTTTAACTAGTTTAACCCAGCTTATTAGTCCTAAGTGTTTAGCATATTTTACCAACGCCATTCGGTTCTTCATCGTAGCGCAGCTTGATGTAAAATGAATGAGGATAAATACTGAAAAGACATTTTAGATCATTGTTTGTATTTGTTTCAGGTTGTAAGCTTAGTTTACATGTAAATCTGGCGTAAATGATGGTTTCTTAAACGTCTACTTCCAAACATAGCCGTGTCATCATCATTTGCATTTTAGTGACCGACCGAGGTATCTTATTCATATGTACATCTCAAATTCTTTAGCGGTGTCTTTATTTTTTACAAGTGAAATAGCTTTATAGGAATCAAAGTCTAAGGTACAGTCAGAAGTATGATAAGTATTATTTATTGCCTGTGTATTTTGCATGAGAACTTAAAACATGTTGCAGTGGTTCTCTGAAGTAGCGAACGTTTTCATAGCAAAAGCAGCCTTTCGAATTAAATAACGGTTTCAGAATTAATACTTACAATGCTGACTAGTAACTGACTACAGGAGGATGTTGTCTGTATTTCTATTATGAAGTCGTGGTTAGTGGAGTCCACCAGGTTGAGTGTGAGGAAAAATACTCTTCGATGACATTGTCTGGCGGTGGCACTATAGATCGATAAATGGCAGGGGTTAGAATTCACGGGCCGTTGGATTCCGATCAATCACTGCATGGTTAGTGTACTCACATTGCAATCCTGGGTTCTATCCGCGGTGGGTTGATCTCCGACGAAATCTCAGCACGAATACAGAGGGCTCGTTTCGCATATGCCAGTTTACGCCGTCTCTAGCGTAGACGTGATATCCGACTATCGACCAAAGGGCGTATGTACTGCTCAACAGTCCGCTCCGTCCTCCTTTATGGCTGTGAGACCTGGCCATTGAGAGCGGAAGACATGAAAAGATTAGCTGTGTTCGATCATAGGTGTCTGCGTTCTATCTCCCACGTGAAGTGGTATAATAGGGTGAGCAATATTGAGGTTAGGCGTCGAGTGCTAGGTAAGGCATGGAAATCAGTCGACGAGGCTGTGAAATTACATCGACTGAGATGGTTAGGACATGTGTTACGTATGCCTAGTCATCGCCTTGCTCGACGGGCAATGTTAGCGGATATAGGGCTAGGCTGGAAAAGAGCTAGCGGCGGTCAAACGAAAACATGACACCAATCAATGAAATCCACAACAGTTAGTCTAAGCCACGTAGGCAGGTGCAGACTTCCTAGTTGGGGTCCTCGTACGGTAAAAACCAATGGTTGGAAACAATTGGTGATATGGCTAAAAATCGTTCTCAATGGTGCAGATGCATCCACTCCTTGTGACTTATGATTTCCAATGAAACTGTTATATCCTCCATTATTACTATTCCTTTTTCTCACACCTCTGTTTACTGACTATATTATGCATTTCTCCTACTTTCTTCTCTTGCTTTGTGTGCTACATGGAGTGTGGCGACTTGAACTGCCGCACATATGTGCAAAGTTCTGTGTCGAAAACCGACCGACTGATCGGGGTCATGAGTTTGTATTTCTAAAGAGTCTCAAAAAAGGATGAAACAACCCTCCGGTACTGCCTGGATTTTGATTGTTCCTTAACTAATGTCGCTCCGTAATGGAAGTTAAAACCAATCAAATCCTTGCAAGTGAACACTGCTCATAATATTGTTTAATACCATGAGTAGCAAGTTTATTTATGACTGTAAGTGTTACTCTAACTAGATGTCTGTATATTGACTGTCACCATCAATAGTATCTACAATCACCTTTCAGAAATTGATTATAGCACTATTTGTTAACACTGTATCAAGTTTCGATTGCATTCAAAAACTGTTTCTTGACATAAAACCCTTTCATCTAGATTACACAGTTCGTGAAATCGGTTTACAAATTTTGGACGAATATGACTTATTCCGAAAATTGAAATTAAATTATTTCATGATGGCTAGGATATTTAGTAAGTTCACTTTGTATGCATACCTCTAAATGTAATTATCTGTTAGTGTATATAAACATGAGTGTTAGTATGCTGATAACTGATATTAAAGTTTATAATAATTCTTTTTACTTTTAGTAATGTAATACAAAATTTGATGTACACATATTTGCTGGTTCATAAAGTTGTTAGTTATTTCTTCTTTGGATGACCTCCTTATAGGAACATAATCTTAACAGAAATTTATTGGTCATCTGCACATTATGGTCATTAAGCTAAGCTGCACAACACTACTGTATACTATAACGCATGTTAAGATTCAGTTGGTAGGATGGGCCTTGCTTTACCTAGACGTTATACTTGTTGGCAGTCATCAGTAAGACGGACGTTTCTAATCGGAGAAAACCCATATTCACTCAGTGACTTGTGCTCTTAACATTAAATTGAAAACCCCAATGGACTAGGCTATTCAGATTGCTGTGTTGCGTCGGATTGTGTTTACGAATCAGTCATCAATTGGTAATGAATACTGTGTTAATCCCATCAATGAAGGTTACAGCATGAAAATCAGGTTAGGCGATATGGCAAGTTCAAATAATTGTATAGAAGTTACGTCTTACTACGAAGCCTAGATGAACAACATTTTTAATACTACCTCTAAAGATTTAGAAGAAAAAATGAAGTGCACTAAAGTAATAAATCATTCAACTTGTCAACTAAGTTGTTGGAGTATGTATTTAAGGCTTGACATATCTATACTAATTATTATTTAGAAATGCATTTATCAACTTACCAACAGCTGTATAAACTCTGATTTGTTACGAAAATAATCACCGACTGGAGAAAAAGGTGGAACGGCAAATATCTCTAAAAAGTATTGCACCAATTGTTTATGCAGTTGTAATTTATTTCTAAGTCATCTTTCACTAATCTAGTTTTCATACCAATCATAAAATGTTTGACAGACATCTATTCCTTTGATGTTAGTTTAAAATTCACAAAGGCTGATGGTGCACTGTAAATTGCTGGATTATTCGAATATGTGTCCATATTCTAGTTCACTAATAATCCTGTTGCATTTGAATGACTCATCCACACGTCGTGTACCGTCAGCTTTGACTAAGACTGACTCACTAGTCTCATTACAACTGCTCATCCTTTAGTAAACGCTATGTAGTCCTCTGCTTTAAGATTGCATGTTTGATTATGGTTGAAATCTATACGATGAGTAATGTATGATCAACTGGAATGTCATGTAGTTTAAATATAGTAATAATTAATACTTTTAATTCACAAAAGTAAGTCCATTTAAAGGAGATCTTAGTCACTGTTATCATTCGACAGCAACCTGGATGATTTTAGTTCAACAGAAAAGGAATTAAGGTCTTAAAAGTTCGTATGTTATGTGTTTTATAATGAGTAGAAACTTGCCAAACTGCTTCAATCTGTTTTTCAATCATTAGTTCGATGTGTGTAAAAGTGATTATTGTCAATCCTAGCACAGTTCTCTTGACCAGACAAATGGATATTATTCATATTTTGTGATTTACGAGAGATCATTTTCATATGACTGCTCAAGTTGTCCTCTGTCAAGAGATAAGCCTTTGGCAGTTCAACTGAGATATCTGTGGGTTTTATTTTCAAAAGAATATACTGGCATCTACTTTTAAAAGTTAAGTAAAACATAACGTCAAAAGTAACTCTTATCAATGTAGAGGAACTCATAAGTGAATGTCAGTACAAGTCGGCTAGCAGAGTTCTATAAAACAAACCCCATATATTAACGTGAGTTAATACTTCTGACAGATATTTCAGTGATCATGACCAAAACAGTCAACTGCTTTACTAAGATGTTACTGTACATTTTTAACTCTCTAAGCAATCACAGTATATAAGACCTAGTGGACTATTTCGTTTCACATTTAACTAAACAACTATCAGTGTTTACATATTTGCATAATAAATCATAAATGTTCATTTGCTTTAATTATACTGTTCGAAATGTGTTGCACAAATACACTGAATGATTCAGTTCAACTATATCTCATCGATTCGTCAAAATACACATTGGTCTAAGCACCCGACTTAAAACCAATGGGTCCCGGGTCCTAGTCTCGCCTTACTTGCTTCAGCCTGGACAATTAATTAGTATCATCAGCCTTAGCATATTGAACGTGTGGCCCGTAATCCAGTGCATGAAAAATCTGTTACGGATAACTGAGATGAAAACATATAAAGTGCTAATTGGATTAATACTTTCTGAAAAGTATGTAATAATGTATTACTCTCATATTAAAGAGATTATTTCATTGTATAACTATAGGGATTACTACAATGTCCAAATTCTATTTTTACAATAAGTTGTGCATAGAATTAAATATGAGAGTGAATGTGATTTACTTTTCATCTTTTCTCTGCCCCCACCACCTTCCCAGCGTTTTCCTTATAAGTTGCTATTCTTTGTCTTGTCATATAGAAGACAAAGTTATATGTCAAAAAGAAAGTTTTTTTCTTAGTTCTAAGTATTATATTAGTTAACACAAAAATACAACGAATAACACTTATTGTATTTAAATTACCAAACAGTAAATACCAAAGTTGATATATACATTTTTTCTGGGTCGTTTCATGAGGTACTTCACTTGTCAATGTAGATTTGTATTCCACTGTACTGATCATGGTGATTCACATTGTAACCGATTTTTATGGTACGACGCCGAAACATATATATATATATATATATATACAGACAATCATAGGTATAAATAAATATAAAATGAACAACTTAGAGTTTTGTTGGAGCTTTAACTAGTGGATGGAAATAAAAGGCTAAACAGTACATTGACTACTGTGTCATATGACACGGAATTAGGCCTTTTATGCAACATTGAAATTTCTTCTAAGTGCATACACAATTCAACTGACATTCACCTGAAGTCATGTGTTCTCAAAATGTAGAAATTTTCAGTGGAAGCGAAAATTGCTTTTGGCATTTATTTCTTGAAATCAAAATTTACACGAATAATATTGGCAAGTAAAGATGATAAATGCATTTAGAAATAGATTTCAGCCATAACATTTGACGTTTTATAAGCTTATCTGAAAGCCACGGTGTCACTCGATCTGATTAATCTGTTTACAGCTAACATCCAGTTTCCTTTTTTTCAATTCAAATAAAAAGTATGTCCTGGGTGAAAAGAACTTTAGAGGAAGCGGAAAAAAGCAGCGAAGCATATTCGAGGTAATTTGTACAAACTTAATTGCTAACTGGTTGTCTCATTTCCTAATTTAACCGGTTTAAGTTGTATGACGACTAAAGGAAACATCACTCTAAGAGTAACTTCACTTGTTTTCGAATTTTCATCTATTTCTCGTTCTCTTCACGATTAAGTATCATTGCTAATAGATATTTATTAAGAGAAAGTGTTTCTCGAGTAAAACATCTGTCTACTGCTGCTAGTTTTTCGGTTTTTACTTTAATAAGATTCATTATTAACTACGAAAAGCTCTATGAATTCAGGTAGTTCTTTAAATACTTTTTAACTGAATGTACTCTTTAGTATACATTCTACATCATTCCCGTTACCTAACAATCACTCATATATATATATATATATATATATATATATATATAACAATCCAGGAACTAATATCTCACTTCTTGTGTTGTTTTTATTACTTAATTTCTGCTTAGCTGCTATTGAAGCTGTTTATCACAATTACAATCCCTATCACACAGCGCTGCATGCCGCCGATGTCCTTCAAGCGGTTCATTGTTTCATATCTCGAACTAAAGTAAGCTATTTAGCAAACAATCTGTATCATTTTTATATGTATACATATATTACTTTACTTATTACCACTAAATAAAAGTATAACCATTTGACGATGGCTATAATAATATTCCTTTCTATTCCAGAAGCCTGCTGAAATCAGTGGGCTATCTGAGTTTCCATGCGACACAATGCATAATATGTTCTCTAATTATTATTGTTTTAACCATAAATTTATGCCCTTGAGTCACAAAATGTACTCACGAATATTTTTTATTGGTTTTCAAGCTACATCGGTAGGCATATCTCACAGAATAGGGGATAATTTCGTGCTTGAAAGCGAACATCACTGCGTCACACGATGTACTACAGATACTAGATGAAAAGAAAAAAATTATCTGATCAATTAGTCTAAGAATTCTGTACATTGTTTAAATAATTTACCCAGAATAAAACCGTTTGTATCATTATTAGGCTAAATAGTCGGATAAAATTTTGTATGTCTTCTGATCAAGGTTTCATCAAAATTTTAATAATAACAGCACTTTATAACTCTTAGTTTTGAATGGTTCGTTTGTTTTAAAAAGTCGTCTTAAATTCCGCTGAATCCAGCCAAATCTCATATATAAGGTCTTAACAGTTTACATAAAACCTGTACTTAACATACTCTAATACAGTTTTTCTCCTAATCTTTTCTATCCTTCCCCTGTGAATGCAGGTACAACTGTATACTTAACTATTTTTAATTATTTCTTTCTTTATATTTACAACATATCCATCTAAAATATTGATTTCTGAAGTATTCATCAAGCGATGTTATCATTACAGAACAAGATACGTATTTGCAGTATATCCTCATCAGTCTTTACATTTAACATAATGAAATACTAGTCATAGGCATTTAAAATAATGTGTGATGTAAACTAATAGGTAACAATCGAGGTCATAGTAATAACAAGGAAAAATTCATTCAAGTGTTTATATAATCTATGCATAGCAACTGAAGACGTACCATCCTAGTGAGTAGAGGTGGCACCTTGTAAAGAATTGTGAAAGCTGAATTTTTATCAATCTTGTACTCCATATCCACTAGGTATGTGTGGAAAATGATACGGACTAAGTAGAAAAGGAATTATCCAAGATACTGAAAGTTCTGTTATCCAGTCACATATTGTCTCGCCAAATTCTTGAACGTCTTAAGCCTTTAGGAACAAATATACCTAGAATGTGTGGGCTACCTAAAATTCATAAGCCCAAAGTGCTGATGAAACCAATATAAGGTGTGTGTGTAACTCACTATATCATGGATTAGCAAGATGACTAGCAAACACACTGCAGCTAAAAGCGGCTAAGTACAGCTTGAAGGACAATTTCGAATTTACAGAAAAAGTAAGAGATAAGAAGATCAACTGTGAAAAATGATCTCTATGGATGTCATTTTCCTGTTCACTAACCTTCCTTTATTAGAGACCATTTACTTCATCTGTGAATCTCTTAAGAGAAATGATATGGACGTACGTGTACCATCTCAGACTCCACGTGTACATTTTCAGTTTAACAACGAATGGAAGGCGTAGCGATGGGCTCCCTTCTGGATCTTCTCGTTCTACTGTAGATATTTGGACGATGCTTTTATCTTGCATAATAATAAAATTGATGTTGAGGTCCTTCTCAAAACATTCAGTATGGCTTACCTACATATTGAGTTAATATATGATAATATGATATATGTCCTGCTAACAAGAAGGCAAGATGGAAATATTAAGCGGAGTATTTTCCGGAAGAAGTCATTGGTTGGCCAATACACCCATTTCAGATCGTTCTTTCCTCTCGTATACAAACGAAATCTTATCAGTACCATGACATTTCATGCTAGTAAAATCTGCACTTATAAATTTAACCGTCCATGTGGAGACAGCTGCATAGGTAGGACGACTCTCCAAGCCCACTGTTGCCTTCTGGAGTATTGCCCAACGTGGTTAGGTCGGGGAGTTATGAAGACAATCAGAAGTTCCATACTGGCACACCTAATCGATGGATATGGAGCACAAAATTGATAAAAATTCAACTTTTACGATTCTATACAACGTGCCACCTCAACTCCCTAGGTTGGTTCGTCTTCGGTTGCTAAGCATGGCTGAGGTAGTTGTCATAAAACATTTTCAACCCAATTTCTGTGTTCGGAAAAATTTTGCTCAGTATCTCTCCCTATCTCGACCTTCACCACTAACCTAGAATAGTTATCTCTTCTAGTGACACCGGATAACTGTAAACATTATCTTATTATTTTATTTTTATCTGTGCTGCTTACATAATTATCAATATCATACTGTGCTGCAGTTGTACATTTTAATCTCAGTTTCACAATTTATTGTTGTTATACTATCTAATCACTATGTGACAATAGTTATTTTCCCCTCTACTCCTACTAGTATACACATTCTGCCCAAATACTTACCGTTACCTGTTTTAGATGAACACTTAAATGAATTTGTCCTTGTTATTTCAAATGTTTATGACTGATGTTTCATGATGTAAATGTAAAGCCTGATAAGAATTTACCGAAAATGTGTATTTGTTTAAATCGTGTTCTATAATTATCATAATGGGGATATTTGAATTAGTGTTATCATTCATGAATACACTTCATTTTGAGCATACGACTATAAACAACCATAGTTAGATGGACTGTGTTAACTTAACCTAGGCAAACCAGTTTTACAGCTTAATGTATTAATTTAAAAGCAGTATAGTCGATTACTGACTTTCGTTTAACATTGGATTCAACATTATGTGTCTAGGTAGGGAGAGGGGATGGTCTACTTAAACACTGTCTAGACAAAATAATTTGATTCTATTATTAATAGATGAATAGTAATAAATTAACAACACAATAAATTAAAAAATTTCTTTTCGTCTTTTTTCCTTGTCTAAGTAGTGAAATTGTGCTAGTGAACTAACTCAGTGACTACTCTGTTGGAAATTGTCATCTCTATTCATTTCTAGTGTATTTTAATCAGAAAAAAGAAAAATATACATAAGATGTTCGATTATATGCGGCATTAGCAAAATAAGACAGTAAATGCCACAGATACATTTGTTGATTTTCTAATGATTTAACCACCACGTGGATATATACGCTAGGCTTGTTTATATGAATCACTCTTCTTTGATACATAGTTCCGATTAATTTAGGCAACCGAAAATTAATGATCAAATCAACCTTATCTCTTTACAAGTAAAACAAAAATAAAACAAAAACGCATTAATCAAAAGTTTCAATTAATTTTCTTCTTCTTTCACAGAAGTTTAGGTATTTCGAAAATGACTTTTTTCATCGTTCTTTCCTGTGAAGTATTTATTCTGGTATTTCAGGTACTTTTCAAAATTTTACGCAGAAAAAGCAGATGTGTATACAAGTTGTATTATCCAAGGCAACAGACGTAGACACCGGTTCATTTACAAAATGCCATTACACTGTTTAACTACACCATAAGAAAATTAAACCCAGTGAAGATATGAAATTGTTCCTTTAGTTGTTGTCATTTTGTCCTTCGTCGTCTTCTTCTTCTCCTGTCTTTTTATTCTATTTCGGTAATATATTGTTTAAAAGGGAGAAAAAGGAAAACGGATTTTCAAATAAATTAAAGTGAACCGTTTTTATTTCTTTTTTGCATGCCTATGAACACGCTTTCGGCTAAATAGAAAAAGACAGTGTGAATAAAATATATACGCCGGATAGAACTTGATTACGTGTTCTGTTCTACATTTTCTTTCTTTGTCACCTCCCCTTTCTCTCGCTCACTTTCTCTCTCTGATTTCATCCCCCTGTTGTCGCTGTGGTTGTTGCAGACGTTTATATCAGTCTTATTCCTTCTCAATATCTTACTGTTAGCTCACTTTTAAAAACCACCCCTCTGCGATTTAATGCTTTCGTAACGTCTCTAAATTAACGTGACAAAATGAAGTAGAAATTATTTATGCTTATTTTTAATGTTCAACTTAATTATATACACATAATCAGGTGTACACATACAGTGAATAAGCAGTATTAAAATAAAGATAGTTAAGTAATTAGTAATAAATTGGGATATAATAAACATGAAAACCAACAAAAGTGAGAATGTTTCCGTAATACAAATTTTTCGTATTGCAGGTGAAACTATTTAATAAGTACATTCAGGTTACTGTTATACGAAATCCATATAGTTAGAAAAAAAATATAAGAGATAAACCTACAGAATTAGTACTACCATCAGATAAGAATCACTGAGTAAGCTAACAGCAATTATAAGTAATTGTCAGCATAATTTGACGTGATTTAACCTTATGTTCATCATAATTGGCTATTTGTTAATGCACTGTGTGGTACTTTTTGATTCAGACATAACTGAATATAAGCACAAACATCAATTCAAAATATAGTATGGCAATCGAAGGTCCTGACTGAATTTCTGATGTTTATCAAAAAAATTACTTTTATGAATGCAGCCCTAAAGAAACGTTACATACTTTAAGGCTGCAAATATACCTTACTGACGAGTTCCAGTAGACACTAAACTGATTTCCAGGCCATTTTGCCAATTGCTTCCAACAGTCTGACACCATCTGATTCTTTATTTGTATGTTCAAAATTTTGATTTTACTTCTCTTATAGAGATGAATGATGTTTATTTTAAGTACTGATGATCCTTGTCTTGAGCTTTCCAAAAGTTCAGGATGTCTCCTTTAATAACATTTCAGCTCGAATCCACTGGTTTGCATACCCTAATGGCGCACAAGTAAACCAATATCATCGGTGATTATCGGTCGTCTTACTTGTTAGACTTCACTGGTCACTACATTTCATGAGAACTTCGGGGCATTCCATAGCTAATTATTAGTAAACAATGGATCACCATGATTTACTACGATTATCTAAACAAGAGAAATCGAATACTAGATCTTTTTTACGAGTTTATTACCAACAAAATTAATTGAAAACATGAAAATTAACGACAGACTTTAAGGCAAAATGTGACT